GGGATTGAACTCAGGCCCTTGTGCTTGCCAGGGAAGCGCTTATTCCACTGACCCATCTCCCCGGCCCCGGTCTAGTCATTCTTGTTTGAAAAAACCCCCACAATTTTGACATGTAAAATTAACTAGTCACCTGCTTCTTCTAGTGCATTAGCTCTTTTTTATTTATTTTTATTTTTTGGTGCACTATCTCATAAGCAACACAGTAAGAGAGGATGGGTACATGATGTTTATGGAATCTTTCCTTAGTGTGTGGTAGAGAGCCACAGCAGCACAAACTGCTTTGGCGCTCTTGACATAGAAAGGACCAATTCTGTCTCTTTTCCAGATTACTTAGATTCAAAAAAATGCAGGTTAGATAAATAAACTCTTTTCACCTCTATGGATAATAAGAAAAGCAGGTATCATTGTTCTATATGATATTTAATTAACAGCCACTTTAAAAAATCACTTTATATTGTAACACAGTATATGGGTTTAAAAAATAACCCTTAGCTAGAGATACACAGCAAAATGTGTTAGGAAGTTAAAAGAGTTATATTCAAATTTATACTCAATTTTAGTCTCTATTTGGGGCCGGGGAGATGGCTCAGTGGAATAAGTGCTTCCCTGGCAAGTGCAAGGGCCTGAGTTCAATCTCGGTTCTGTCAAAAAAAAAAAAAAAAAATTAGTCTCTATTTTTTTTTAATTTTCATTGGCAATTTATTGAGTGATAGAAACTTGCAATAATGCTTTGATGTTCTTCACTCCTGGTGAGTTATGAAACAACATGAGGCTGGAAGTTTAGCACTAGATCCCGTATGTCACTGAAGTGAAGCCAAAATCAGATAAAAAGTAAACCCCTCTTCCTCCTAACTTGCCTATCATGCATTTATAGGACCCTGCTCTGTACAGCTCTTGGTGAAGAACAGAGGTGAGAGAAAACTCTCTCTACCTTATGAGAGTTCTATAATTGTCTGTCTGAAATAATGAAATTGAAATCTGAAATAACAGAAATTATTTCAAGTACTGACAGATAGTCAATGGGCAGATAAACAGGATGAAAATATAATCCTGAATTCAGTGAGATGTAGAAACTTATACACCTTCTTCATAGGGCTAAAGAGAGGATTCTGGGAGTGAAAAGTGGACCCAAAGAACAAGTGCTAGCCTGTGACAGTGCCTCTGGGTGTGGTGTCACTTTCAGCCCTCTCCTGTGACTCAAAAGGAGGCGCAGGTTCATGAAATCCCCTGGCAGTCGATGAGAACAGATAAGAGGGTTCAGAGAACATCCCATTCTGCATTTGCTGCTCCCCAAGTCAGTCTGTTTAGAGGTGGTAGTTCCTGGATTCCTCCAAGTACAACAGTAACATAAAATATTTAAGACAAAGTTTGTTTTCAATGAACTTATCTTAAGAAATTATCTGAATAAGTTGGTGAAAATGCTAGTGGTCAATATGAACAGAATGTCTTACAAAAGAAGAGAGAGAAAACTGATTCCACATTCCTACTCTGAATAAAGACCCTAGGAACAGTCACAGTGACCTCTAAAGTATGAGGCTGTGGAGGCCTTCTAGTTTTCTATACATTGCTTAAGATTTAGGTTTTTACAAGTGTAAATTACTTTTATAATCAGGGAGAAAAAGAAGAAGCAAAATAATGTCTTTAAATAAACATTGTAAATGAACAGAGAACAAATGAACAGAAAATGTTTGTTTTAGGGTACTGGTGGTTCACAGGTGCATTTTGGCCTGTTTTCAAGTTATGTTTTTCTAATAGCATTTTAACAACAGATTTAATACAACAGTAAAAGAAGTATATGGAAAATTTGAGATCTTTGATTGGAGTAATCTGCGTCATGACATATTTACAATTGAGGTCTTGCTGCTATTTTTATTTCTAGCTAGAGATGGGTTCTGAAAATAATTAAGGTGCATCTTCTATTTCTAATTTGCTTTTTTCTTTTTGTGGTACTGGGGGCTGAACTGAGGATCTTGGCATTGAGCTATATCCCAAGTCTCTCTAAAAGATGTTTAAATCATTATTACTATTGTCTTAATTTTGAGAAATGGTCTCACAAAGTTGCCCAGGCTGGCTTAAGCTTACATTCCCAAATCAGCCTCCCAGGGCTCTGGGATTACAGGTGCATGCCACCATGCCAGGGTATGTAATACGTTTTTTCAAATTCTTGTATGACACTCAATCTAGATGGAAAATGGTAAAATAAACTTCTATCAATCTACATGTAATGATCTATTTCATTATCATCCATTACTAAAGTAATTCTTCATCATTAAAATGTAAGTTGGTAATTTATAGTTTTAATCTACAAATGCTTTCATCATGTTAATATGCTGTCCTAAAAAACAAAAAGAAAACTACAACAACTTCTATCTGTGTTCCAGAAATTCACCAGCAGCTCTGACCTTCCTGTTTTGAGAAGGCCTCGCTTAGACATGGACTGGACTTCAGGACAGCCTGGCTGCATCGCTGACCATCTCTCAAATTTTTTAACTTTATTTTCAGCATCACTTTAGGCTGCATCTTTCTTTCTATAAATGGCAATGACTGTGGAATCTCTGCAGTTTTTCTTACTTAATACAACTGAACTATTTCTTTAAATGAAAAAATTCTGATGGTGACAAGAAATTTCCTATTAATGAAGGCTTGCATCTTCTGGTCATGAACAAAGGATGCCTGGTACTTGCTAACTCCATTTAAAACCCAAATTATTTTATGAAATTAATTGTGAGTTTCCAAGTATCCTTTAAGCACAATTAAATTTATGTACTCAGTTTGCCAGATAATGGGCATCAGAAGGAGCAGAGAAGGTTCTGGAGCCAGTCCCGCTCCTTCACTACTGAAACTAAGCAATGAGCAACTGAAACCAAGAACAACCTTATCAGTTATTCTAGTTTTAATAAGGCCAGATTCAAAATTTCATTTTCATGATGGTAGTGTTTAGATTTGAAACTTTTTTAACATTTTTTTATAATAACATTTAAATATTTCTATCTCCTAAGTCACACTCATCAGAATTTAAAAAACAACACTATAAGATAAAGAACCAGGTCTAGGATATGGAACCGGAGAGAAGTGTATGTCCGCCTGCATACTTAGGTCTTCCTAACACTGCACACACTGACACATGCTAGAAGCAGGTAATGGGTGATCCTTCCCCATGCTGGCAGAGCTGCATGTTCCCAAACCTGATGAACAGATGTGACCAGGGGCCTGTAGGGCTGTGCTTCACATAGCTTTCCAGTGGATTCACACAGACTGAAAATGTCTTCAGATGCAAAGGCCCAGTATGACAGCTTCTGAACTTTGGACAGAATTGTTCTACTTTGTTTGAAAAAAATCATAACTTTATCCTGGTTTATGACCAAGAATTTAAGGTTTCTGCTTTGTTTTGTTTTGGGTGGTACTAGGGATTGCACTGAAGTACATCCCAGTCTTTTTGTTATTGTTAATTTTGAGAGAGTCTAGCGAAGTCCGGAAGTTGCCCAAGGTGGGCTCGAGTTTGTGATCCTCCCGCCTCAGCCTCCTAGAGTGCTGAGATTACAGCTATGCACCACAACTGGTCCTAAAACTCTGTTAAATCTTATTTGGATGAAGTTCTCAGAAATTATTACAAAGAAAAATACCTTCATCTAAAAAGTTAAATGTGAAAAAAAACATTCTTTTTGATTCTATAGCAGCACAAGTTGGCTCCTAAATTTTTAGTTCATCAAATAAACAACACATCACCTTGAAATATCAATTTTTCTACTGGAGAAGCTGGGGTGGAGAGGCAGTTACAGAGATCACCCCAAGAACTAAGCCAAGGAATAAGTTACCAATGGCATTAGATTGGTCTCTAATTAATTATAATTTCATCTACATTATGGACTTGAAGGCAAAACTCAACAAAGAACTCATAAAATGAAATGCTGCACACCAACCTTTTATTGCACCCACAATATTTTGGTCTAGTCCTTTCCGGTTGTCATTCAGTCCTCTTTTCCTCTTCCCATTGGGTAAAGAATTAGCCAAAGTCTTGTCATCAAAAAATGCACACACCAGTTTTCTAAACAGAAGGCTTCCTGAGCGAGTGTAGTTTGACAGTATAGAGTCCAGCTGAGATTTGGGCATAAACACATCAAAGCCTTCAGCAAGTTGCACTTCTGGCTACCAAAAGAACAGAAATATTTTATTAAAAGCAAAATTTGAAGCATCTGACTTTGAGAATCAACACAACAAAAACAACTGCTACTTAAACATCTATATTATACACATAAAATATACTCTCAATTTTATGTGCCAGGATTTACAATTTATAAAACCAGTGACTTTTAATTCATTAAACAAAATGTTTTAATTCCAACATTACATCTTATTAGAGGCAATGAAGAAGAGTACCCTGTAAAAGCATTTCTGTTCCTACAAACAGATAAAACGATCAGGTGGTCATAAAACACTAGAGCTCGGGGCATTCAGCTTTCTGTATGAAACACCCTCTTTTTAAAGGAAGGAGCTAAGGCCCAAAGAGATCATAACAAAAATGACTTGCAAATAATCCAGATTATTGTCTAGTGCATTACTGCTTACAGATTACTTTCTGACACTTTAAAAAATTAACTTCTTCAAATCCCAAATATGAAAACATTTTTTTTTTCTCCAGTGAAAATTTAAGTAAATTGTTACGGAAAATACATAAAAATGATGACAGTTCCCCAGGAAGTTTCGATCCACTCCCCAGCTCTGTTTGGGAAGAAATACTGAAGTCATATTCTTGAGCACCCTAGAAAAGCAGTGCACTAGTTGCACACAGCATCAGGAAACCCCTGACAGGGACATGGGGTTAGAAGACCCACTGGTGGCTTCCAATTTGGACACCAACACACACTGACATTACTTGGACATCATCGTCCAGACATGTAGCACATTTTCTACCAGCATACCATGGATGTCTACAACTTGCTTTTTCTTCATGTCACTAGCTCATACCATTTCCTGTACAAAGCTTTTCTTGACTTCTTCCTACCATGGAGGCAGTCATATATTCTACTGTTCATCTGACATAAGCACACAACTGTATTTATTACACTATATGCAGTGTGCATCTTATATCTGTAGGGTTTGTCATGCAGCTGCACTGAATAAATTCTTATGAAATAAGTAAAATTCTTGTTCTAATTTATCTACTAAGTCATTTACTAGTGCTTATGACATAATAACTTTTTTGTGTGTCTTTTTCTGGCAGGTTTTCACTGTGCAGTTCAGACTGGCTTTGAACTCACACCCATCCTCCTGCCTCCAACTCTCAAGTGCTGGGATTACAGGTGTGTGTCACCACATCTAGCCTTGTAACATGATAACTTTAATACCTTACTATGACGAAATATAATTGGTAACTTTTAGTATCAAAAAGTCAGAAGAATGCTTCACTTTCATAAGCTGTATATATTATCAAAGCTCATTCTTCGATAGCGTATTTGTCATTTTACAAACATGTCATCACTTTACATTTTCTAAATCACATTAGAGGACAGCCACATAGCTCAGCAGATTAAAGCGCCTGCTCAGGAAGATGCAGGGCTGGGGTCTTTGGCCTGTCGTGCTGGCCCTGCCCGGGGCATGCTTTTGAGACAGCAATTGAGACTCAGTAGTGGCTCCCGTCTGTAACCCCAGCACTTGGAGGGCTGAAAAACAGGAAGGATCACTACAAGTCTGAATTGTGTAGTGACACCCTGTGGACCCTGTACTAAATACATAGAAAAGTACCTGAATCACACTAGAAATGTGAGGAAGGGGATTAGTTTCTCTTTTGGAAAATAAGAATTAACATTGTTATAAAAATGCGCAGCATATTAGAATCTAAGTGAAGAAAGCTCAGAGCATAACACAGACCAGTGCTGGTGAACCTTTTAGAGCTTTCAATGATATATACAACCCACCTCACATGCATGCCACAGGCTAGCCACCACTTCCCTAGTCTATCTGGATGCCTTAGGAAGGTGTTTGGGCCCTGTCCCTTCAAAATGCAGTTTTGACTGGACCATCCTGCATCTTGCTTGCTGGTCAAAGGTCTGTAGAAGAGCTGACAGGAGCCAGGAACTGAATATCTAATTCCCAGAATAAGGCAGGAACACACAGGTATTCAAGAAATATTTGTTGAATGATTCAAAGTGGAAATATTAGGACTGAATCTTATGATCATGATCTAAAGACCAAGTTTCATTTAAGAACACTTGAATTGTGTATGTTCTATTAATTTTTATTCTAAATGAACTGATCTCAGATTTTTGCTAAGTGTTCTATCCTGTGAAAGCCATGTTGAAAAATCTAAGCGTATTTCATAGCTATTTGAAGTACTAAGATGGTACAAAAGCTCTTGAAATGCAAAGAGGAAAGGAAAGGACCATAACTTAACTCACTCCATAATTCAGTTTAATTCAGACACCACTAACCGGTCATAGAAAGCTCAGTCACCTGACATGTGAGGCTCCCAGGACCTTCCCTTTGATCCATCCTGGGGGACCTGGACCCTGACCTGAGAAACGCTGACCTGAATGAGCCTCCAGGCAGAACCACTCCTTTCTTCATGAACTCAGTCTAAGAAGCATGATCATGGGGCTTTCCACTCTGCACTTATTAAGTAGGCAGTTTGCACTTCTCATCAAGAAGAGCACTCTTCTGTATTCAGCATGTCAACTACCCTATCTATGTCCAGTGGATTCATCTGAATGAGAAAAAGTCTGGCCAAAACTTAGGAAGACCCACGCAGACCCAGACGTCTTCTATCCCTATATAAAGCAGAGGATTTGTGAGCTTGAGGCATGCTGGCTAGGTGTCGCAATGCCTTCTTAAGAGTACTTCTGGTGCTGCTGCAGGAGACTGTAGATTCATAGTGCATGAGCACCTCCTGTGGGGATTCAAGGCTGGCTCTGCAGCCAAGACTCACGCTTTGACACCTATCATAGGAAGCAGAGGGATGTGTGCCACAAGACAGGACTGGTGAAGCATAGATAAAACGGCTCAGAGGGCAATGGGACAGCATTTTTGACAGGGCCTTGATGGTAAGACTAAGTAGACAAGGGACAGAGTGGCTGCTATAGCATCTGCTGCAATTTCTAAAACTATCTGGAGGTTTCTGTGGAATTAGGACTTCCTACAGCATTGTAACAGTTCATAACTCCCATATAATCATCCATAACTTTGCACATACATTTACAAACAAAATAATATGTGTGTACACACACACACACACACACACACACACACACAGGTATTTGTTTGTTGGCTGTAAATGAGATTTCTCTGCCTACTAGTAATAGTTATGACAGGAAAAAACACTACTCAAACCATCAGCATTTACAAAACTAGACTTTCCTTGACAGATTCATTAGCTGATACTCAAGCCAAGATGCATAGCTCATAAACTAATTTGCAGATTTCATTGATTACTGAAGCAATAGTATCTTTTAATGATAACATCTAAATTACAGGGTAAAATTTACAACTCTGACAGTCATCACTTTAAGGGTTCAGAGACTGAGTTCCCACGATGTTTTGCATATATGTCTTGGCTATTTTGGGTTCCTCGGCTACTTTATCACAGCAATGTATCAAGTTCTGACTTCTCATCTGATCTGATTCTATCTTATATGGGTGAGCTCATCAGGCAAAGACTGTGTGCAGTCCTTATGGCTCTAGAGCCAGGCCTCCCCACATTAATTACTTCACTTCTTTGCACTTCGGTTGTGGTCTCCAGAGTTAAAATGTTACTTTTGGTGAAAGATCCTCCAATCAAGTAAAAGGATTCTCCACTCAAGTCTATGGGCATGTTATGTATTTTCCTGTATAAGCTAAACAAACACAAAAGGTAAGATAACTTTAAGACCATACAATTAATCACACTGGGAACATACTTTAGCATAAGCTATTTTATATAAGGCATCACCAATTCCAAATCATAGTGAAATATGTAAAAGGCTACCAGTGGTCACTGGGTCAAAGAGTAAAAAGAAGTACAGAAACACACTGAGCATTAGCCCCATATTTTCAACTGTGAATTAATAAATTATGCACATAATTTTCAAATTCTGTGTTGCATAACTCCCACACTTAGATGCTCCTCGATAGAGTTCTCTGTAGGAGATTATATGGTGGTTAGGGTAAAAAAGGTCAGGTTGCCTAGTAAAATCTCAGACAGGCTCAAGACCCAAACCTGAAAGAAAACTATGGAGGAAGAATTGGACTGTAATTATGGTACACTGATTTTTTGATTGCAAATGTGAATAAGGATAGGTAAGAATATTTAAAGGATATTAATACATGTTATACATAGGAATTCTAGTGCCTCATTATTTCTTTAAAGGTATATTACATGTAGGGGGCCAGATAGTTCAGAGGACTAAAACACCTACTTAGGCAGAGTGCAGTGGCCAGGGTTCGATCCCTGGTGTGCCATGCTGGCCACACCCCCAGGGCAAGCTGAGACTGCAATTGAGACTGGGCATGGTGGTACATGCCTGTAATCCCAGTGCATGGGAAACTGAAAACAGTAGAATCACTGAATCTGATCTACATAGTGGGACCCTGTACTAAACACATAAAAAAGTAAAGTACATGTAAAACACACACACACACACACACACACACACACACACACACAATTGGGGCCAGCAAGATAGCTCAGTGGACTGGGTGCCTGCTTAGGCACGCACAGAGACTTGGGTTTGATACCCAGTGCCACAGGCCACATGCAAGACTGGGAGTGGTGGCGCACATCTGTAATCTCAGTGCTGGGTAGGCTGAAAACAGGAGGATTACTGTGATTCTGAGCTGTGTAGTGAGACTCTGTACCAAATACACACACATAAAAAAAAAAGAACTCTCCAATTGATTTCATTTTGCATGTGTCATCTGCTTCTGTTTGATAAAAATTAAAGTTATTTCTTATAAATGAGGTCTTCTCTGGGTAGACTGTCATCATTTATTAAATGTTAGGTCAAAAACACAGCCATGGAACACCTGAGACTGGAAGGTGGCCTCGCTGGCTGGTCTAGCCAGGGTGGCTGTTGCTGCTGCACAGCTCTGAGCAGGTGTGTCTGGGGAGTCCTAGTGCTGGCGGGTGGCCGCCTGGCCTTCATCAAGGCCAGCACTGCATTAAGTTCTGCAGTAAG